TTTTCACATTCCTGCTAGTTTGTGACGTTTAAAGACTTTGTTAATCTAGACTGAAGGCATTTGTTTATCTCATTTAAAAAACATAGTACGGAGTATATAATGTACATATTGAATCTTCAAAGAATACCAATTAAATGTGTATGCAAAACACCAGTGATATTCATTCAGTGAACCAAGAAGATTAAATTTCATTAAAGATGTAATTCCTCCTTGTCAAGCAAAAGGTTCCGTAGACGGCTTCCAATTTCTGAAAAGCATATTAACTTGTCAGGTCACAAATAGTCTGCAAGAGGCCAAACTTCACTTAGGTTTCATGGTTATTGATACACCCCAGAAAAGCATATCTGAAACTGCCAGAGAACTGGTGCTCACTCAGGCATCAGAACCTGCACCAACTAGTTCTACAGTCAGGGAGATTACCACTGAGTCAGTCAGTTGGTAAAACTTCTGAATATATCAGTCAGTGATGCATAAGGTATATAATGCTGAACTGGACTTGATTACTTAAACAAAATAAACAGGAAGTGACTCGCTTGAAAATATGATTTAGATGCGCCACCACCGGTTGAACAAGAGGTGGCTATCATGCCCAAGTGCCCTAGTGGATAATGCCTTGGTGTTTGAAGTGATGAATGCTAGGTTTGAGTCTCAACAGGAACAGCATCACTCACTGAGGTGCAGGTACATCCAGCCAACGAATCCCAGATAGGATGAAACGTGAGTCCTGGATTCCACTGCCAGCCACCAACCAGACAACAATATGATGAGTCTTTTTGATTAATCAGGGTACACTTTATTTACACAAGCATCGACGCATTGATGATGTTCTTCGACATCGCAGTATTATATCTGTCCTCACCACAAAGTATTTCTAATACACTGGTAAGATATGCGAACGGATAACGGAAATCCAACAGGATCACGGATATCTGGATTAATTACAGAAGTAGTAGTACAGAGACTTGAAACTATCATACTATCGATAAACAAACAGGAAATCTAAATTGGCTATGTGGACGACACTTTTGTTGACACCAAAAGGAGACTAACTTTATGCATTCACAATTAGGTCAGCAATGTTTTCAACAACATAAAATTCTCAATAGAAGAAGAATAAAACAATTAACCGGCATTCCTGATTCCTTAGCCAGATGAGCGAGAAGAAAAAAATTCAGGGTTAAAGTGCATAGGAAGTCAGCATTCATACATCAACTGAATCTGTAACTATAGTAGTATAAACCCAGCAATACATATAATTGATTATGCACAGACTTTGTTCTGAAAAGTGAAAACACTACAGTACAGCAACCAAGTGGAACATTGAAGAAAATCAGTTGATGACTGTCCTGAAGAACAACCGTTACTCAAGCAAATTCATTGGATATAAGTTCAGTCTATCATCAACTACATAGTCATCCGTAAAATGTTATGCTTTACATAAAAATACATATATATCAGATAACAACAAAAGTACTGAGAACATTTGGGATTTACAATTTCTTAGGTGATATTAGACAAACCGAGGGACGCAATGGTTGAAGAGGAAAAACCCGATGTCGTCTACAAAGTTGACTCCAACAGATATGATGAACATTGTACTGAGAAAATTGACCATCCTCTTTTCTTTTTTTTGTTTGGACGAACATCACTCAACAGTTAGGTAGAATGAAATGGGTGATGTGAGATTTCTGCACGGATACAAAAGGCTCGATTGGCTTTTGCCAATTTGCGCCACCTATGGCGCCGCCGTGACATTCGTTTGTCTATTAAGGGTCGCGTGTACTGCACAACAGTCCGGTCTGTTCTACTGTGTGGCTGTGAAACATCACCATTGAAAGTGGAAGACATGAGAAGGTTACAGGTATTTGACCACCGTTGCCTTCGTAGTATAGGACGTATTCCGTGGTGTCACCACGTGAGTAATGCAGAAGTTAGGAGTAGAGTTTTAGGAAGAAGAGGTAAGTCGGTTGACGAGGTTATGAACGTTCATCGATTGAGATGGTTGGGACACGCACTACGTATGCCTAGTCACCGATTGCCTCTTCACACAATGTTGGCTGAAGTGGGTCCAGGCTGGAAAAAGGCTCGAGGTGGCAAGACTAAAACATGGCACCAATGTATGAAGTCTCTGACTGTTGGTTTCAGCCATGTAGGACGATGCAGACTAGGTGGTTGTGGTCCACGGGACGAGAGGAACCAGTGGTTGGAGACCCTAGGTGATATGGCTCAGAACCGAGGTCAGTGGCGCAGATGTATACACACATTATCCTCATCTTAACAACGCTATACCGAATCTCACCATTTTGTCACTCCTCTTTCCTTTCTTCTCGTACTTTATATTTCTTTCGACTGCATTCACTTATCTTCATCCTTTGCCTCACTACCTTTTTACTTGATGTGTTGATATGAGGTGTGGCAACTCGGACCGTTACGCAGTAATGCCTGATCCTATGTTGATAATGATGATGATGTGAGTTTGATTTACAAGATGCAGAAAAGATTATCAGAACATTTCTGGAAGCTTAGCTTCCATTATGGTCAGTGATTGACAGGAGTGTGGAAGTGTAGACCTAATTTTACCAATCTATGAAGTAAACTAGAAGGTAAGACACCAGATCAGACAAGTAATCAGTAGAAAGAGCATACAGTCAAGGATGTGACTGTCACAGGAAACAACTAGTCACATACCATCTAATTTGAACAAGCTATTAATTTTATCATGTAGAAATTCTAACAGCTCAGTTTCTTTTGAAGTTATTGCTGATGATATCATCTAGAAAGACATTGAAAGCTTTATGATTCAGCCATTCACCTTAGAGAATGCAGCATCACCAAAATTATTTACTTGAGTTACGAACACTCCAACCCCAATCTCATAGATTATCTAGTTAACAAACTTGTGTTCAGAAATTTTTTCACTCAAGAGCAGTGATGTGATTTCAGGTTTACTTACCAAGGTAGTGAAGCTAGTAGAAAGTTTGTCCATCTATGAAGTTGATTAACTATTGATCAAATCGAAAAAGACTTTTTGTCTAAACTGAACAACAGATAGACTATAGAAAATCAAGTGGTTTTTATAACTTTCCCATGTTTGGGGATACGTGCTACCGAAGATTCCCTAAGTAGGTGGAGACAACTACTCATTTACTTCATGATTTTAAGTGGATTCTATAGTCAACACTTCATAGAGACTGTCCACAAATAATTCCTTCTTTCACAACTTTTATTGAAGAACAGTAGTCAAGGTGACAAAACTTATTAGCGAGAAACAAAAGTATACAACTAAAAACAGTTTACAAACAGAATGAAGGACAAATTAACCAAACAGGCAACCAAATAAGTACTTCAAGTATCAGTATTATATCATCAATTACTATAGCAATCAAAAAAGAATCAAGAATGATCCACTGGATTACATTCAACTGACTGAAGTAAGCGAATTGATAATATAAACGATGGGCTGGTAAATAAGATGAATTTAATCAAATTGTCAGTAAGATATGTGAGTTCAGCTTAAACAAGAATAAGCTGTACAATGTATAAAACTGATTGATATGATTGGTCGTGAACCATTAACAAAAAGAAGTAGCGATGCTTGAACAAAAATCGGAACAACATTTATTGAATGACAGTAATTTATGTCCATTATCATATAGACATTCATCAATAGCTGCCTACGTTGGCTCGATACTGAAGACCAGATGGCCAGAATAATAAGAATAAGCAATAAGGAACTCTGGGAATGAACCAACGAAGCAAGAACCAATCACCCAACAAATATGTAGATGAAGGAAGTGGAGATGGATTGGGCATACACTGGGAAGGTCGACTGGGGATATCAAGTGCCAGGCCCCCGAGTGGGACCCAGATGGGAAATGATGAGTTGGGCTTGCCAGCTGAGGTGACATGGAGGAGATGATGTGAGGAAGAAATGGAAGCTTGTGGGCTGTCGTGGAGCCAGGTTCGAAAGTTTGCAGATAAGAGAGTGGAATGGAGACGTGCTAGTGAATCCCTATGTTCCACTAAGAACCCAAGGGAAAAAAATCATGATCATACCAAACTAACAACTGTCATAAAGAATGCTGAACTATGCATCCGTCTCGTCCTAGTTCGAGACTCATCAGCAATGTGAACTCAAGACTGCGTTTGAGATGTAGCCACACAGTGATCCTAACAGTATTCAGCCACTGGCTCAGAACCCAAGAATTTACACTTTCTAGATTTAGTATCACTGAAAGCCATTCAATGTGGTCGACCGGAACAGGTACGGCTTCCTGCTCAAACCTTAAGAAATGTCTAGCTAGTATCTAATTCATCTGAGGCTTTTCATTACCAACTATATACAATTAAGATATGCTTTGAATAGAATGAATTTAGAATGTGATAGAAAATGCCAATTATTCTCAAGATTTTAGCAAACTATGTAGAAACATAATGGTTATGATAGCGAGTGCAAGAACATGCAAATTACACAGAAGTGTATCATATTGATTTGTTATACCTCACGAAAGATGCAGCTGTCGTTACCAAGAGAGCAATATTAAAATGGCCGAAATGAATATAAGAGTAAATACACTGACACCAATCTGATAGATTTTGATGTATGTTATAAAAAGTCTGCAGGTATTGATTTCTGACATTTCAGTGACCTTATTCAGGTAGTTACACTGCTTCATAGGGCTTAGTATTTATCTAGTGTGACTATTTACGTAGTATTGATTATCGTCATTTCTGGAATCATCTTCACTTATTGGTATGGTCCGAATATTCATTCAAGTACGGCATTCCTGAAATTGATATTCACCGGTATTGGCAAATATCGTAGAAGTCTCACTATATTTAACAACAGTACTCCTGTGTGTAAACCCTTACAACTTGTGTAAAGCAAGTTTCAAACACAACACAAACAAATAAATGTACTAGAAAACAGGATATTAAAGTAAAACCATACTGTATATGAAATTGAAGAAGTTAAATACCTTAAAATAAATATTAATTACCATCTTTTAGCTTGTTGCTTTCAAGTTCATGTTCCAATGCAGTTTGTGGTGTTAAAATGTATTTTTCTATTTGATCATACTTTTCGAATAATGAAATGTGCACACTGTCTGTATTCTCATCTGGAGTGAAATCATACACATCTGACCAATTACAATTAAATATATTGAGACCAGCTGATGTAAAATGATCTGAATTTCATTGAAGAATAAAAGTAATTATTAAAGGATATGAAAAATGTATACATTGATTAAAACAAGCAAAAGCTCAATGGATATTGAATGCTTACTGGTAAATAGTTTACCACTAGAAGGTGAGTTTGAGAATTTCTGTGTCGAAAATGCTTATCTGGATATTAGCAGTTTTAAGGATTACTATTCATTGACGTACTTGTTATTCTCCGTTGTTTTGTTGGATCGAATTGTTCGACCTCTATTGAAATATGGGTTCCTATACAGCTGCCTCAATATTGCTTGAATGTTAATTATGATAAATTGGTTGGTTGTGGCCAGTGGAAGAATCCGGGACGAGCGTTTTATCCTATTTGGGACTCGTCAGCTGGATGTACCTCCACCACCCCAGTGATGTTGTTCCCACTGGGACTCGAACCTCGTACCCATCGCTTCAAAAATCAAAGCGTCATCCATTAAGTCATAGAGGAATCATAGCCACTTCTTGTACAACGGGTGATAGTTATTACTAATTACCGCCATACTTGTTATTCCCCGTTGTTTTGTTGCATCGAATTGTTCGACCTCTATTGGCATATGGGCTCCTATGCGGATGCCTCGATATTGCCTGAATGTTAATTATGAAACGCATGTTTTGGAGTTTTAAGGATTGTTGATCTAAACTTTGAGATAATTCACACTAGTGGTAATGAAGGCAATTATGAGTACAACCAACTTGTCTAGGAACTAGACAGAGAAAACCTTGACTAGAATCAATAAAATATGCTGAAGATAACTAAATTGCAGTTTTTAAACCTACTTCGAGTGTGTTATGAACAAAAAGTAGTATAAATTTACATTAAAAATGAACTTCTGTGTTGAGCTGTTGCAATTTTAAGTACAGGTTCTGAGTTGTTTTCTTTTCTACTGACAATAACGTTGAGAACGTGAAAATAAGTTTTAAATTAGCTTATTTTCTTCAGCGTAATGGATCATTTCAACTTGACGTTTTTCTGTCAAAACTAACCTAGGAAAATACTGCTCTTTTATTATACTGTCGAAGATAATTCTGTTTTTTCTTCAAGGAGAGAATCCAGCAGTGACCTAGGTATTATTTCTCAGCCAATAATAACTGCATTAAAATATGGTAATGCAGCTAAACAACCTACCTGGATGAGCATATTTCTTAACATCGCACATAGTCAGAAAACATTTGGAAGTGACAGCTTACTGCATCAAATCACCAGGCTTTGGATTCTTATGAGATCGCTCAACAACAAACGATTGAAGAATCATTATGTGTCCTATCATTATTATTTATCCTTTGGGTTCCTAGTGAAACATGGGGCTTCAGTAGCACGTCTCCATTTCACCCTCTTCTCTCCAGTCTTTTTAACCTGGTTCCACGACTGCACGATCTCCATATCACCCTCGGACGCCCATCTGCTTTCACAGATTCCTAGCACTTTTATGCCATACCTTCTCATCTCTTTTGCAATCTGGGCAGCCTTGCCAGCTTCGAACATTGTGCGGACATTCCATGTCCTTACGGTTACTTCTGTTTCCATCGAGAGAAGAGAAGACACATCGGTTAATTGGCTTCCCGAAAACTTTCACCAACAGGGGTCATTTTGTATCCCCGATTCAGCTAGGAATAAGTTTGTTTTTACGTTCTTTGTGCTTTAAAGTTTCTTTGGCGATTGGATTGGTTTTACGGGGTAGGGTTACTGGCCCTATGCTCAATCTTCCTTTTTTATCCGGGCTTGGGAGCGGCTAGTAAACTAGTAAACTAGGCGAGGTTGATGCATTTTACCATGTAGTTATTGTTTACAGTGGTTGTCATGGTCAATCAGTCAGGTTAGAACTCTATGCCATTTCAACAATATGAATAACTTTAAGTTTACCTTGAATCACCCCAATTACATCAGTTTAGTTTATACGAACTTAATTTTGACGATTTTACAGTAACTGATGACAGTTAATTCTGTGTTGTCTAGCCCTTCGTTTCAAAACACAGGAAATCTAAGTTTACAACTACCTGCTGATTATCTTCAACTTCAAATAGTATTTTGAAGTTGATTAGTATACACTTCCTATGATCATTGTTGTCTCCGAATCTACTCAAATGTATGGTAAAGAATACAAAAAAAATATTTATCAATCAGCTAATATTGGTTGGTTCACCAACTGAAATCTGCTGGGGAAGCTTTTTTCCCGTCGCCATTATTCTATTTAGACACAGAAAAGTTTATCTATCTACAATGTTTAGATGCATGTGATAGACTTCTGTCTCTTTATCTTCAACAGACAAATTCAGCTTTGATTCACTCTACTGTCTTGTGAGGATGGAATAAATAAAATAGTTACAGCATAGACAATTGAAAAGAAAACAGTAACCAGCCGAGAGAGAATGTAGCTTGAATATGCTGGCACATGAGGTGTTTCTCATAACTCAGTATATAGGTCTGTGTCAGGTCAGGGTTTTACACCATTCAGTTTCTAATTAGACCAAGATTTCTGGATTATAGATATAAATGTAATAAGGATTATGTGAAGGGGACGAGGACCTGTTAGAACTGATGTTTTTCACATTTCTAATTACGTTTCAGATACATGCCTACTGGTCAGTTGAAAATCGAACGATTAGTGAATGTTGTACACATACCTTTCGCACTATTTTTCACCAAAAACAGAATTAAATACCTTTTATTTGTAGAAGTAGGGTTGTCTTCGTTTAATTGAATGGCTTGGTTGTAAAATAAGACAATAACAGAGAAATCATTCAACTGAATGAATCAAGTGTATTTTGGACTAAGATACAAGTGATTGCATCACTTAAGCTTAACCAATTCAGGGGACTACTTCAGTTCTATAGATCAACTTATATAGACCACATATGATGGATTAAGAAACGTAGGGTACAAGAAATTCTTCTAGGGTTCGATTTAACCTTGTGAAGTGATTTTAGAATTGCATTGTAGATGTAAGTCATCGCTGCTTGCTAAAGAACAACAGATTTTGATAAAAGATTTTTTGAATGGCATCAGGCTGGAAAATTATTCACCTGCAATAAAAGGTAAATGGATGGAAGACAGAACATATGGTAGTAGGTAAACTTCTCTTAAAATGTTTCTGGAAGATGATGGATGTAAGAAGTGGTTTGATACGATGTATCTCAGATAATTTGAGGGGAAAAATAATGCAGCCATAGTTGAGAAAAAAACCTTATCAAAGGTGAAGTTTTTGATAGTATAAATGAAATGTTAATGGTCATTTTAACCTACCCCATGACCAAACTCTCGGTTGTATTAAGCACTACTTACATTATCCCTTCGATTTCCCCGCTGAGTGTATTTACCAAACACCGCATACTTCTGAAAGTAAAAATGGCATTACGAATGTTTTTTTCCTTGAATACATTCAGAGGATGCTCAAATCCAACTGTTTACAGACATCCATAATCTCATGTCGACGTTACTTAGTACATTTAGAGAGTATTGTAAATACTATGAAAGACTTTTTAATACTAAAGTATCAAATAACTCATTTCAAGTTGTTATTCATCGAAGACTGACATCAGTTGGAGGAACAAGGAAACCTGGGAGCACTGGACAGCTGTTTCGTCCTAGTATGGGACTCCTCAGCAGTGCGCACCCACAACCCCCACACCAGCAGGGATCGAACCCGCGACCTTCAGGTTCCGCGACCAGCGCGTTACCATTGAGCTAGCCACTGGGTCAGAATCCAATGCTCCATATTTCCAACTTCTGTTAGCTCACGATATAGCGCAAACCGCCACCCAATGTCATCGTTGAGTATTTGTCCTCACGGCCATCAGGCTTGACTCCACCGGTCACGACTTGTCATTGGAACTTCGGGAATACTTCTCGAGTCCCATACTAGGACGAAACAGCTGTCCAGTGCTCCCAGGTTTCCTTTGTTCCTCCAACTGATGTCAGTCTTCGATGAATAACAACTTGAAATATTTCCAAATCTCCACAACCCCCTCAAAATTTAAATAACTCATTTACCCGAAGTTAGTAACCACTTTTGAATTTCAAGTCTAACCTTTCTGTGTTCAGATCAAAAATGGCTAACTTTCAATTATTCTGGTGACTACTTTTTTTATTCATTTGCATTACTACTTATTGTTTTGCATTTTTCAGTCGATATTTTCAGTCTTTATTTTCTACTCCAAATACAATATGCAGTTGAAAAATCAGTTTCCTTTTTGATCGTTTGTAACCGCATAATGAATTCATTGTAATTTATCACAACTACCTATGAATAAGTGAAATACCACTGGTGTCATTCGAAATTCAGTTATTTTAATCATTCAACCGTCGCCGCCTATATTGTATACTATGTGCCAGGTTCAGGTACTTATTTCATTCCATGAAAATATTTCATATAAAATTCATGCTTTGTGAGGATTGATCGGTTTTAGAGGAGTTTCTACAATGGATTAAGATCGCTTGGAGAACGACTGAAAATACGGGAACATTGGAGAGCAGGTTTGTCTTCAACAGTGGACGCTCAAACTGATCGGATCCAAGGCCATCAATTTCTCCTGTGATATGCATGCTACCCTTCAATCACTGATATTCAAATACAATGGTTAACATTTTCCTAATTCTGTCGATATGCGATGTAGAGTGACGATTATTCAACCCCATCAGTAGGTATTTTTCCTCACAAATAATGATGGCTGAAATTTATCACGAATCGATATAATTATGAAAATGTGGTCCATTGGGTTACATTTCAATAACTGATTGGTAACATGTCCACAGAGCAAACTGATGGTCTTACATATTCGTGGATCTGTATTGCCGAGGTGACGAAAAGTAGGAGAAAACAGCTTTTTAAAGTTCTATTTTCTTAATGGTTCTTTAAGTGCTGCTAATCCGTGATGAAAACTTCTGTAAAATCCTTTACATAATTCAAACTGCTTTCATCGACAATCAGTCTTGTATTAATGGTTAGTTCAAAATACCGATTATTCATTCAAAGTTGATTTG